GAATCCTTAGGTGTGGTTGTGGCCGTCTTGGTCACTTGTGTGCCACTTGCCAATGCTAGGACATGTCATAGTTACACTGACTGTTGCCTCCTCCCGGCCCAGGTTCCTCTCCCTCTCTTGCTTTGCTTTCCTTGGTAACCCTGGTTCCTGTCCCCTTCTGTTTTCCAGATTGGCCCCCGCCGCATCCACACAGTCCGTGTGCGGGGTGGTAACAAGAAATACCGTGCCTTGAGGCTGGACGTGGGGAATTTCTCCTGGGGCTCAGAGTGTGAGTGAAGCCCTTTGGGAGTGGGTGGAAAAACTCACCTTTTTTTTCTCTCTCTCTCTCTTTTTTTTTTTTTTTTTTTTTTTAAAAGAGACAGGGCCTCACTGTTGCTCAGGCTGGAGTGCAGTAGCTATGCATGGGCTCGATCCCACTACTCATCAGCCCGGGAGTTTTGACCTGCTCCGCTTCCGACCTGAGCAGGTTCAACCCTTCTTAGGCAACCTGGTGACACCCCGTTCTCGGGAGGTCACCATATTGATAACAAACTAAGTGCGGATACTCTATCGGCATAGCATGCTACTGCCCAGAACTCCTCTCCAGCCTCGGCTTCTCGAGTAGCTGGGACTACAGGCATGTGCCACCTCACCCAGCCACCTAAACCTTAAGATTTAGCAGTGGTGGCTCATGCCTGTAATCCCACAACTTTGGGAGGCCAAGGCAGGTGGATCACCTGAGGTCAGGAGTTGGATGGAGACCAGCCTGGCCAACAAGGCGAAACCCCATCTATACTAAAAATATTTTAAAAATTGTTCGGGCATGGTGGTGTGCGCCTGTAGTCCCAGCTAGTTGGGAGGCTGAGGCACAAAAATTGCTTGGAACTCAGGAGTTGGAGGTTGCATTGAGCCAAAATTGCCCACTGCAGCACTCCAGCCTGGGCAACAGAGCGAGACTCTGGTAGTGCTTTTGGCAGGAGGTCTGTGGCTTAGACCAAAGCATTTGAAGTTTCTCATTGCTGAAGGATCTTGAGGTAGCTGGAGAGTTCTCTCCACCCAGGCTGTCCTGTTCTGATCTCTTTTTTTTCTTCTTTCTTTTTTTTTTTTTTTTTTTTTTTTTTGAGACGGAGTTTTGCTCTTGTTACCCAGGCTGGAGTGCAATGGCGCCATCTTAGCTCACCGCAACCTCCGCCTCCTGGGTTCAGGCAATTCTGCCTTAGCCTCCTGAGTAGCTGGGATTACAGGCACACGCCACCATGCCCAGCTAATTTTTTTGTATTTTTAGTAGAGACGGGGTTTCACCATGTTGACCAGGATGGTCTCGATTTCCTGACCTCGTGATCCACCCGCCTCCCAAAGTGCTGGGATTACAGGCTTGAGCCACCGCTCTGCAGCCTGATAGATTGGGACTGATAAAGACTGGTTTCCAAACATCACTAGAAATGTGGGTTGGGGGTTTGTGGAAGACCGATGCCCCATGGCTCCTAAAGACTGAGAGTTCCCTTGTTTCTCCTTAAGGCCTCACGGAGCTGAAGAACCTGGAGGAGGGCGCCAGGGCAATTTTGTCCTCCAGTTTACTTGATTCACAATTTCTCCTGTGAGCAGGTTGTACTCGAAAAACAAGGATCATTGATGTTGTCTATAATGCGTCTAATAACGAGCTGGTCCGTACCAAGACCCTGGTGAAGAATTGCATTGTGCTCATCGACAGCACGCCGTACCGACAGTGGTACGAGTCCCACTATGCGCTGCCCCTGGGCCGAAAGAAGGGAGCCAAGCTGGTGCGTATTACTTCTCTGTAAGGGTTGCGGGGTGGGCAGCCTGATGACAGCCTTCTTGTGATGAAACTGTCCAGTTCTGCTACTGAAGGGAGAGGGATGAGAGCCTTTAGGCTGAGGAAGGCCAGCACTGGGGTATGCAGGGTTCAGGAAGGCTCCCATGGCCTTCCTTCCCTGAGCTCATCTATTTTGTATCCCCTTCTCAGACTCCTGAGGAAGAAGAGATTTTAAACAAAAAACGATCTAAAAAAATTCAGAAGAAGTATGACGAAAGGAAAAAGAATGCCAAAATCAGCAGTCTCCTTGAGGAGCAGTTCCAGCAGGGCAAACTTCTCGGTGAGATGGCTGTTGTGTTGGAGGTGGGGTGTCACAGAGATAGAGTGTGCCATGGCATTTTTCCCTTGTCTCAGTTCCTTTGACTGCCAGCCTTGCGGTCTAAAGGGTTCATTGGTAGCATCTAAACACAAAGGGGACCGTTTGGTCACCCTATTAGCGTGAAGCTGAAATGGGAAACATTGGGTAGTAGGGTCTGCATAGGCCCTCACTTGGAGTTTTAGAAGTATTTTGGGAAGTCCCTGCCCAGGCTGAGGGGGCTGTCTCAGTGATGAAAACTTTGTCCAGTTCTGCTACTGACATTAAGTGATGATAAAGTGTGTCTGAGGAGACAGCAGGCTCGTGCTTGCCCCCAGGATACCTGAAACTACAGAGATTCTTAAGGGGATGAAGAGGTTTGGGTAGAGCCACCTTGTTGTGCTAAGGACCATGTACTCTCTTGCAGCATGCATCGCTTCAAGGCCGGGACAGTGTGGCCGAGCAGATGGCTATGTGCTAGAGGGCAAAGAGTTGGAGTTCTATCTTAGAAAAATCAAGGCCCGGAAGGGCAAATAAATCCTTGTTTTCTTTCTTCGCCCATGTAATAAAGGTGTTTATTGTTCTGTTCATACATTTGTGTTGCCTGAGTGTTTCTCTGCTTTTCTTCTTGGCCCTGCAAAATGGGTAATGGGGGATATTTCTCACCATGTTTTGGTGGGACTAGGGATGTTGCAGAGGCTGTGAGAGGGGTATCACAACCTTGGGGTTCAATTAATTGTGTGCTGAGTCATTAGAATCTCAGACTATTTTGCATCTATAAAGTTGTAAGGGTCCTGCATCCATTTCTGTTTCCAGCAGCACCCCTCTTTGTCTTTTTATTACTTAATCTGACAGTTTGTTCTCTTCCCTTTGGAATGTTACTTCAGGGAAACAAGGATACTTGCTTCCTGCTGTGTCTGGCACCTGGAAAGCGTATGGACATATACTAGGTACTCAAATATATGCAAGATTAATTGGGGGAAAAAAGTCTTGAGATTTTATTAAGTTTGGCCAGTTTGGGAGGCTGAGGTGGACAGATCACTTGAGGTCAGAAGTTAAAACCAGCCTGGCCAACATGGTGAAATCCATCTCTACTAAAGATACAAAAAATTATCGGGGCATGGTGGCACAGATCTATAATTCCAGCTATTCAGGAGGCCGAGGCATGAGAATCGCTTGAATCTGGGGAGGCAGAGGTTGCAGTAAGCCAAGATATGTTCATAAAGTCAGTGAGTTCTTCAAAGTTTTGAAATCCGTCTACTCTCCATTTCTACCGCTTTCACAGATGACCGTTCTCACCATGGAACAAGGCCTGTAAAAGCTGCCCCCAAAAATCCTCAAATACCTTCTGAATGAATGGCTGTCATTGTGGGGTGCTACTGTCTCCACGTTATAAATTTGAAAACTGTGGCTTAGAAATATTCACTATTACCGGGCGCGGTGGCTCAAGCCTGTAATCCCAGCACTTTGGGAGGCCGAGGCGGGTGGGTCACAAGGTCAAGAGATCGAGCATCCTGGTCAACATGGTGAAACCCCGTCTCTACTAAAAACACAAAAAATGAGCTGGGCATGGTGGCGCGTGCCTGTAATCCCAGCTACTCCAGAGGCTGAGGCAAGAGAATTGCCTGAACCCAGGAGACGGAGGTTGCGGTGAGCAGAGATCATGCCATTGCACTCCAGCCTGGGTAACAAGAGCGAAAATCCATCTCAAAAAAAAAATATATATATATATATAAATAGTAAATATATATATATATATTTACTATCCCTTGGACATACAGATGGAAAGAAGCAAAGCCAGCATTAGAATCCAGTCATCTGACCCTGCCAGAGGCTGGAGTCTACTCACTGCACTCTAGTGTCCCCCTCTGTCTTCCTCCTTTGTTCTGGGATTTATCCTGTGGCCTTAATACTCAGTTTTGGCCTTCACTGATTTCCTTAGGTGGAGACTGGGACGTAGAAGGCAGGAATCAGAGGAGCACAGTTTTTACCACAATTCCAATGTAGTGCTCTGTGGGAGACTATTTCCAGAAGGGTTTTTTTTGTTTGTTTTTGGAAACAGTCTGGCTCTAACTGAGGGCTGGAGTGCAGTGGTGTGATCTTGGCTCACTGCAACCTCTGCTTCCCAGGTTCAAGCAATTCTTGCGCCTCAGCCTCCCAAGCAGCTGGCATTACAGACATCTACCACCACAATCAGCTGATTTTTGTATTTTTAGTAAAGACAGGGTTTCACCATGTCGGCCAAGCTGATCTCTTAACTCCTGTCCTCTGGTGATCTGCCCACCTTGGTCTCCCAAAGTGTTACAGGCATAAGCCACTGTGCCTGACCCCAGAAGGCTCTTTTCTTACATCAGCTTAGTGCCCCCAGTGCTGCAGGCCTACCATGGAGATGGGCCTGGGCTTCTACCCATAAACCGTACTTTTTCCCCCTGTGTGGTTGGTGGGAGTGGAGAAGGGCTTGGCACATTGAAGTCCCAATGCTAGGTCTAGGGTGGGTGCTGGATGGCTTCCTTCACATCTGACTTTAATCAGCTCCAAAACAGATTCCCAAACCCTTCCTTCCTTCATCTTCATCCTACTGCACCCATGCCAATTCAATTTTAAACAATTATAACTGCACAACTAATAAATATATTCTCAGTGTAAACAAAAACAAGTTAAACAAAAACTTGAATATATTCTCGATATAAACAAAAACTTGAACATTACAGATAAGGCAGAAGTTCCCCGGCACACAGGGATGCCTCTTCTGAGTAAGGTTACCAGGGTAAGGTATATCCTTCCAAGCACTGCTTTATGTCACTCTCAGATTGTGTTTCCCGGACCAGCAGCACAGTGTCACCTGGGAACTTGTTAGAAATGCAAGTTATCAGGCACCATCCCAAATATAATGCACACTTTTGACAAGAGCTTCAGTGATCCTAATCTTTAAGTTTGAGAACCACTGGCCTAGCTCCCCGTTGCTATGAAGCTAACCATACACCTGGGCTCTAGTCCTCTGTGCCTAGGCTTTTATTTTTCTAGTTTCACCTCCCCCAAACAACCCATCCAACCTTCTCTACCACCAAAATGGACACATTCCCAGCCCTGGCTCAGGCCCTTCCTGCCATCGTCTTTTTCAAGTTCTGTCCCTAAATGCTTTGGCCTTCAAGGCACTCAGGAAAAGCTGCTCTAATTAAGCTGGTTGGCAGGACTGCGCATGGCAGGGAAGGGGGGCAATGGAGGCGGGGGCGGGAAGCAGGCGGGGGCAGGGGAGACCTCAAGGCTCCAGGGCTTCGTCCTCGGATTCCGCCGCCTCTTCTTCGATGCGGGATGCGGCCTCGGGGTCTCCGCCCTCCTCGGCCCGGAGGCGAAGCAGATGCGGGGTGCGGGGGGTGCCTCGTGCGCGGCCGAAGTTCCGGAGGCTGATGGCCGGGGAGGGCGCCACTGCGCCCAGGAAGCGGCCGAGCAACGGGGTCTGCGCGGCAGGCACCGGCCGACCAGACGCGGGCGACGCCTCCACCTGCAGGCTCTGCTCAGGGTCGTCGCTCATGCTGCGGGCGAGAGGGCGGTCTGAGCCAGGGAACAGGGCGGGCGGGGGACGCGGGACTGGCTCTCGGGGAGGGACCGAGTCATCAGTGTCCCAGAGGCTGAGCTGGGACACGCGTGCCGGGTCAGGTGCGGTCTCCGCCGGCGCGGGCCACTCACCGCAGGTTGAAGGTGGAGCCCAGGAAGGAGGGTCGCAGAGACTCGGCCGCCGTGGCCACAGTGTAGGGTGGCTGCGGTTGGTCCTCATCCCAGTACTGGTCCTTCTCGGCGGGGGGCAGGTTCTGGTACATTTCGTCCACGGATAGTAGGGACACCTGGGCCAGCAACAAGTCACAAGGATCCTCCTCTCATTTCCTTCCCACAGAGGGGCCGAGAGCTGACCCGGAGAGGGAGCCCAGGAGCTGTTCCCGATTCTTGATCCTTGCTCACCTGCAAGTTTCGGTCTATGAGCTGGTTTGTCTCAAAGTCGTCATCGTCCTCACCAAATGGGTTGATGATCTGTTCAGCTACCTGTAGGTGGCAGAGACAGTGTTTTCTGGGCTCAGAGCCCCACATTTTTTTCCCGAAGTTGGGGCAGACCCTGTGCCCACATCTCCATAGAGCAGGCTGGCATGCCCATCTGCAGTGCCCACCTTGAGCCAGCCAGCATAGAAGAAGAACTGCAGTAGAGTGGTGAGAGGCACATACATGTCCAGGTCTCCCAGGGCCGGGGCTGGCTCCTGGCCTGACTCCAGAGGCTTCTGAGGTTTGGCAGCCCCTGCCTCTGGCTCCACAAACTGGCGGCCAACCAGGGAGAGGCCAAAGAAGGAGTAGACGGCTATGGTCACCACCTGGAGAAGGAAGAGCCAGGCTCAGAGCAGGGTGCAGTGGGATGGGGAGAAATGCCGCCCCTGCCTATGAGGCTCTATGGGAAGTCTGACAAGTAATTAAATATGTATCCTGGTGTGGCAACACCAGTGGGGACAGGGTCACCTTGGTGGGGCTGGAGGGAGGCTTTGAGGATGAACCCAATGCCTCGGGGGATTGAAATGGCCAGGCAAGTACCATGTCTAATTCTTCTCATCTCATACCCGGCACAAGACATATGGTAGGCACTGGGACTGGGGAGAGGAGAGGCAATTACTTGGGTGTAGACGAGGGGGATGCTGATCCAGTCATAGTGGAATAGCATACTGCACTTGGCTCGGTACTTGTTCAGCTCCTGGGGGAACGGCAGGAACAGGAAGTCAGCAGAGGTGAGGAAGGAACAGAGGTGCCCCGCACAAACTAGGCCTGGGCCCAGCCAGGAGGCTCATTCTCATTCTGCCCTCAGAGGTGTATTAGACTGGGGTGCTTGAATCCCAGCTCTGCTAACTAGCTGTGTAACTTAGGCAAGTTTCATTTCCACTCTGTGCCTCTGTTTCCACATCTGTGCCTCCGTTTCCTCTTCTGTACAAGGAGGATGATAGTACCTATCTCAAAAGTTGCTGTAAGGGGATGAATGAGTTAACATAGCTACAGTGCTTCCAAAAGGCCGAAGTACACTGTTGGTGCCATACAAGTGTTAGGCACAAAAATTATTAGTCATCTTCAAAATAAGAGGGAGGAGGGCAGATGGGTCTGGTCCCGGGCTGACTCACTTCCAAAAGTAGACAGAGAGCGATGTCGTCACGGATTCGCCCGTCCCTCCGGGCCTGGGCCGCTAGGTTGGTGAACCAGACACAGGGCACCCAGTATTTGTTGAAGTCGGATTTCAGGCTCTCAAACTTTTTCCTCTCTTCTTGGGACATGAAACCTGCGGGGGTAAACCGGGTGGGGTGCAGTTGCACCCTCTGCCGCCAGGGGAGGCTGCTGTTCCGCTGTCTGGTTGCCCTCCCTCGCGTCCACCGGCAGTCCCAGGACTCGCGGTTCCGCGTTCTGGTCGCGGTCCAGACCCTTCCCTGGAGGGCCCTGCTCCCAGGACTCTCCCATGCAGCACCTGCATCCGGCCGTGGGCCGGCCCCCCAGAGGCTGCCGGCGAGCGGCGCACCTGCGTCCACCACGTGCTCCATGGTGGGGAAGCGCTTGAGCACGCGGGTGCTGACCGAGCGCAGCACCAGCACGGAAGCCAGGTTCGCGTAGCGGATGAGGGTGCGGCGCAGCAGGCGACCCCGCTGGTCCACACCGTGCACGCTGGCGGAGATGACGCACATCAGCTGGTCTGGCAGCGGGATGCTTGTGTACTGAGACCACCAGCGGTTCACCACCAGAGTCACATAGAAACCTGCTTGGCCGCCATGGTAGAGGGAATAGGAGGGGAAGGTGGAGAGCCTGGAAGTCGGAGCGCCTCACCTCCCCCAGCAGAGGGCCTGGTCCAGGCCAGTTGAATCGTGGCAGGGGGAAGGAAATATTCGGCTCCAGTGCCCTGCCGTGCCAGACCAGGAGGAGGGAGAAGGGCAAACTTCCTCCAGCAGAGGGAAAGTGGGGGTTCAAAGCCAGAAGACTGCTTCCCAGGAGGGTGGGGAAGGGGTTGTCACCTCTGTCCAGCTCCCCTCCAGTGCCCAGGGTGGGCTTGTGAAGCCAGCAGGTGTCTTGTGCCTTGCTGGAAGTTAGGGTCCAGGAAGTGATAGGGCCCTGCCCTCCGGGGGCCCTGGACCCAGCACCCAGCTCCTGTGCCTGCTGGGCCTGCTCTGGCTGACCAGGCTCTGCCACTCTGTTGATTCTTTTTGGTTTAGGGGAGTCTCGCTACATTTCTGAGGCTGGACTGGAACTCCTGGGCTCAAGCAATCCTCTCACCTCAGCCTCTTGAGTAGCTGAGACTGCAGGTGCACCACCAGACCATTTGTTGGATAATTCTGACCCTCGGAGCTGTCAACCCAACCCAGAGGTCAGGAAAGACAGTAAGGAGGATACAGGAAAAACTAGAAGGGGGCCTTACCCAGAACAAAGGACAAGGGAATGAGGTTCGCTGAGCGGTTGCAGTACCGGGCCACCTGAGCATACACGTGCCTCTGCTCCTGGGTCAGCAGCAGCCTGGGGAAGGCAGGTGTAGGCTTGGGTTAGAGGGAGGTGGGTGGCCCAGTCTCCCTGCTTCTGCAAGCTCGAAGAGCCTACCCTTACCGGTAGATGATGCTAAGCACAGCGTACAAGGCCACAAAGAGGAAGAATTCCTTGTAGAGGAGCTTGTAGATGCTTCCCCTCCATCGGAGAAGCAGTCCAGAGAAACCTCCAAAGCGGGCTTCTGCCACTTTGAGAGTGTATGAAACCGTCATGGTGCTGGCAGCCTGGGGCAGGAGGTAACAAGAGTTGCCCCCAGGACTGTCGTTTACTTCCCAGACAACCTCCCTCCCACTCTGGTCTCACACACCCCAGCCTTCACCCCGCATCAGTGGACAAGAGGGTAGGAGCCTGCAGAGCAGAAAAGCACACCCCATCCCTTGCAGAACTCAGCAGTACATGGCAAAGCCAGGCTAGCGTTGGGCCAGGTAGAACTGAGATCTATGTCCCTTCATGCATGAGGCTTCCTCAAGCTCCTCTTCAGTCTGCAGGGCTAGGGATAACCAGATCCTGAACTGCTGCGGACAGGAGACACAGCTCCAGCCCAAACCCACTGTTATTTCTTGGAGCCTTGCTCTGGAAGCTGATTGACTAGCCTACCAAGGCCCAGGGCACTCCTACCCCCATCCCATACCTGCCTGCTTGCTCTGGGCAGCAGCCGTGTGGAGGAAGAACTGGGCTAGACTTCACCCCCCACAGACTTAAGTACCTCTGGGATCTATAAAGTCAGGCTGGACTGAGGCCTATCACTGATGGATTGAAGCTGTCATCCAGCTTCCCCTGGTGCTGGGAACTGGGTGTGTCTCCCTACCCCTGTAAGGCTGGGCTGGCCTTTGAGTGGCAGTAATGCCACCTATAATGACCCCACAGCTCACACAGACGACACCATGTCCTTCGAGCCAGTATGACAGGAATTACTGTCCCACATTTCAGGTGGGAAGACAGATGCATGATAAACTGTTATAATAATACCAGCTGCTGATTACAGAGCACTGACTAAGTGGCAGGCACCATGCCAAGGGCACTACTATGTCATCCTCTCATGAAATCCTCATTGCAGCCCCATAAGGTAGGAATCAATCTTCCACATTTCACAGATGAGGCTCCAAGAGAGGTAAATGACTTGCCCGCAGTTGGCCACACAGCTAGCGCATGTTGGAGGCAGGATTCAAAGCCAGGGCTGTTGGACTTCCAACACTGGAAGTGGCCTGGCAAGGGCGTGAGCTCCAGAACCCCTCGTGCACTGGCCACACTCCCAGGCTTCTTGTCCAGGCTCTGGGGGGCTTGGCCAGGCTCTTCCCCATCCATGCCACAGGGCTGGCAGCCACAGATCTGGAAGTTCAGGATAGGAGTGCAGGCCCTGTTAAGCCCTGTGTCCAACATCCTGACTCCTAGGGGTGCCCAGGATTTGAATGGCCACTTTCACCTCTGGGCTTCAATTTCTTCATCTGTCAAACAGAGGAAGTAATACCTAAGGTGCAGATAGAACCACTGCCACCAGGCGCAGTGGCTTACCCCTGTAATCCTAGCACTTTGGGCGGCCGAGAGGCAGGCAGCCCACTTGAGGTCAGGAGTTAGAGACCAGCCTGGCCTAACATGGTGAAACCCTGACTCTACTAAAAGTACAAAAATTAGCCAGGCGGCACACACCTGTAATCCCAGGTACCTGGGAATTTGAGGCAGGAGAATCACTTGAACCCAGGGAGCCAGAGGTTGCAATGAGCCAAGATCGTGCCACTGCACTCTAGCCTGGGCCAGGCAAGTACCATCACTAATTCTCTAAAAGAAAAAGAAATAGAATCTCAATGGGAGAATCACTTGAACCCAGGAGGTGGAGGTTGCTGTGAGTTGAGATTGTGCCACTGCACTCCAGCCTGGGTGACAGAGCAAGTCTCTGTCAAAAAAAAAAAAAAAAAAAAAAGACAAACAGAAAGAGAAATAGAACCTCAAAATGGGAAGAGAATTGGCAGTTCACATACCCTCCCAGTGCTGAGATAAGTGAACACTGAAAATCCCAAGAGCAGTGGTCTTGCCTCTGTCTTGTTTGGGGACGTTCCTCACCCTACACTGTAAGCTGGTTCTCAACAGCAAGAGTTTCCTTGGCCGGGTGTGGTGGCTCATGCCTATAATCCCAGCACTTTGGGAGGCTGAGGTGGGTGGAACACCTAAGGTCGGGAGTTCGAGACCAGCCTGACCAACATGGAGAAACCTCATCTCTGTATTTAAAAAAAATAAGAAGAAGAAAAAAAAAAGAGTTTCCAAAAGAGAGGAAGCATAGAGGTGGTGATGAGCACAGGCTTGGGAGTCGGGCAAACCTGGGTCTGAATCCCAGCTCTCTGTAACTGTGCAAGTCACCTAATCTCTCTGAACCTCAGTTTCCTCCTCTGCAAAGCAGGATCCAGAACACCTAACCTCATGGGGCAATTTTAAGTATTCACAGAAACAATGACTACGGCCTAGAGCACTGTGGGTGGTTGGCTTGGACTGCTGTTACTATGAAAAGTTGAATCTGTTTTCTTTGGTTTCTTATTATTGGTCCACCCTTGCCTTCCAAGCCTTCCAAACTAGACAGTCTCTGAGAAATGAGGAGGCAGAGACCTTTTCCTGATGTCCTGCTAACCTGCCCCAGACCAAACAGTGCTGGGTCCTGGCTTTTAAGCTGGATACACAAGACCTTCTGAGACTTACCCACCTCTACCCTCATCATCAGCCTCTGCCTACTTCCTTTTTAATTTTTTTTTTTTTTTGAGACGGAGTT